CGCATCTGCCTTTCCTCACAGCTGGGGAGAATGGCCTTCTCTAGCTGTCATCGTGGGCGCCTTTCCCCTCTTGCAAAGGCCAACTGTTACTGTAAGGCTCCAAATTAGCCAAGGAGGCCTGGGCTGGGTCCTCCTGCTCCGCTGACAGCACTCACTATTCAGCATCCTGAATGCCGTCTCTGTACCCGCCTGTCCTCTCTGCACGCTTGTCAGCTGCCCTATTGATTCAGTGCAGCAAAGGAAAGAAGAAACCGGGGCAGGAAAGGAGCTGCTTTCTGCCAGAGCAGCCCCTGGGGAATTCCAGTGCTGCCAGCCGGGGTGAAAAGCTGCCATGGGATGTCCTGCATGGAGGAGGCTCTGGGGAGGCTGGGGATGTACGTCGAGGTGCCCCTCGGGAACCCCTCCACTCCTGTGCCCTTTGACACTTGCATGAATCAGAGCTGTTACGAGTTTCGCTATCTCTGGACTTTCCAAGCAAAAACCTTGGCATGCTGCAGGTATTTACCATGTGCCTGAATCCATGCTGTTTGCCAGCAGCTTAGCCCAGCCCCTTGCAGCAGAGATGGAACCACAAGTGCCAAACCCAGCTCCCGCTTTTGGCAGGAGAGCAGGAAATCTCACAGCCCTTCAGGATCCAAGGAAGGGTGGTTTGGGAGTGAGAGCTGCAGGCTGAGACACAGGAAAACTGGGTCACATTCCTGATCTGCTGGAGAATACGCCCATATCGTTGGACAAATCACTTAATTTCTCTATGCCTCAGTTTCCTGTTAGCAAATGATACTCCTTATCTTTCACCTCTCATCTCAGCAGAGGATTGAGTTCATCTTTTAGTATGTATCTCATCACTGTTCTTTGTCTGGTGGCTGGGGACCCTCTCTACCTTAATAAAATAAATAATTGAATTTAGATTAAATGCTCTAATATAATCCTGCCCAGTGGTTACTAAAACACTGGAATGAAGGTTCATTCTGAGCCTCTTTCCATTTCTTCATAAGGCCAAGGCAAGAAGTAACTGGATGTAGACATAGGTTGTTATCATAGCAAAATGACAAAGATAGGTGGTTATTGGTAGGCATGGCTTTTATAATCCAGTTTAATGGTCATTTACCTTTCAATGACCTTGGTGTCAGGCAAAATTGGCAACTCTCTTGCAAGGAATGTGCTTCCTCAATGAGGGCTTTGCAAGCTGCTGCATTTTTTTGGCTCTGGATTCACATTGTCTAGTATAGGCACTGCTGCAATGCAAGAGACTTTCTGTCTGCAAAGAAAGGCCATAGGCTCCTGCCGATATAGCCCTTGGCAGTGCTGTCCTACTGCCACTGTATTGCTCATGAAACGCATCAGTTTGGTTGCAGCAGTAAGCAAAGCATGGCTTGGAACGCAAGTTGCAGCCTTCAGAAGGGGATGTCTGCTCTGCTCAGAGGGCTGCCTAGGAGTTTCTGTGCAAAGGGTTGGAGTAAAAGGAGGGAGAACTTCTCATCTCCATTTAAGTGTATGCAAGAGGAGCTGGTAGTTCTGGTTGTAACTCCCTGTAAGTCCTTATTGCATCAGTAAAGGCATGATATTGCTATACACTACAAGTGTAGTCCTTTCAGTGCTGATCGTCCAATCGTTGCAGATACAAATCAGCCATGTTTTCTATTGACCGTCGTGACCCTACGCCACTCTGTCACATGTTGCAAAATCCTTATGGTTTTATCCAATGAGTGATACCTGTGGCCATGGAGAAAAGCAGCATGATCTGGGCTGTGCTGCGCTATCTAATGGTACCCCCTACGTGTGGCCATCCTTTGTAAGGAGATGGAGTGGGTCATATCCTGGGGCTTGGGCAGACTGGATTCAGTAAAGGTATTTACAGCAACCTTGAGTAAGTCTCTTTATTTTTCTGGGCCAATCTTAACCTTGGAGGTAATCTCCTGTTTTCCATGAAGTAGGCTGACTTTTCTTAAGTGCTGTGGGATTATTTGAGATGGTACCAAAAAGATTACTTGGGCCACATTGTACTTAGGGGTGCATGAAGAAGCGCTACAGGCGTTGAAGTGTAACGTAGCGTGGAGTTTTCTCAAAAGCATCTCTGAGAATTGCCTTGTGACTCAGGCTTCTCTCTGTTTCTGATCTGTCATCCTGCTGCTCACAGCCATTTGGTTTTGCAAACAAATTCCTTGCACGTGTAACTACTGCCCTGTAGAGCAAGCCTAGCTACAGGAGCAGTCTTATGTACTGTCATTTCTAAACAGTTAAGATAAGGAGATCAGAACAATGCAGCTTGGAGGGAGAGCCGTTTGTTTCAGGCTTCCGTGGATAACCACCAACTTGGTTTTGCCATGAGCATGTTGAAGACATCATCCCCATGGCATGATGGGCCTTTAGCTGGGATCAAGCAGTGGTTTCCAGCAGTCAGAATGTTGAGATGGTTTGATGTGCATGGGCTCTCAACTGGTTTTAGTCCTATTCACCTGCTGGGACCTGCTGTGATGCTTGCACAAAGGATCTTTCAGACCCTTGTATTAATTCTTCTTGGTTCTCACATTCATCACACTGATAAGTATTAGCTTGTTCTCCTGATATGAGAGAATGGTCACATTCATTTCAATGGCAGTTTATTTTTGCAGGTCTCAGGTTTGGATGGGGAGCGTCCAGCTGAGATCAGAGATACTTGCAGAGAAGCAGATGGTTTATATGCTGCTTCTTGCTGAAGAAGAGCAAAATTAATCTCTCCCGAGTCCCTGAAGTCTGAACCCATTGAAGTGTGACAGAGTCTTTCCACTGACCTCTGTGGCCCCAGGATCATGTCCTAAATGAGTTGCTTTGAGTCACTAGAAGCCTGAATTCAGCTGTGGTGGTCTGGAAAATGTAACCTACTGTATGGGCTGCACTATTCATAAGAGCTCAGCCCTGTGTGTGTGCTAGATCTGGATGCTTGGGAGAAGAATAAAGTCATTTTCTGCAGTTGTGGGGGTGGAGGAGGGAATGGGAATTATACCCCCTTCCCTCCAAACGTGGTATCATAACTACTGGGAGCTGACCTGCTTCTGAAGCTTCAAATTAGGTACTTTGTGCTGTGTTTCTTCTGATACCATCCCTGATAACTAAATGTCCTGTCCACGAGAACAAACTAAGAGGAGCACATATTTAGGCCTGACCAGAAGGAACAGACCTCAAGTTAACTTTTCTGAGGTGGGCCACCAAAGCACATGAGCAAATCTGGCAAGGCTGTGATTTATGCCAGTGGAGTTTCTTTAAACTTAGAAGCAGCAGGGTCCTTGAAGCTTGAGAGAAGCCCGTTAGGTGTGTGTTTGACACCACATGCTTACAGCTCTGTGTTTTATCTGTGATGTCTAATATTGTTGCCACCAAATACTACCTGTTTTTCTTACAGTTATTAAAAAATGCTGCAGTTCCTTGAAGTGATTTTTGCTTTCTCTGGATTGAGTGGCTTATAGCTGTGCAAAACTGCAGCTAGCAAAAAATTTCAAGTTAAGACAGCATGATACAGGGGTTTTCCGTTCCCTACTGGTCCTAACTCAGACCAGAAGGGAATTAATTGGGTGTAGAGGGCATAAAATAAAGTGTGAAGAACTACCAGTTGATACTGTCCTCTGGAGTCATTATTGATTGATCTGGAGTCATTAGGCTGTTTTACAGTGAAACTAGTGAAGATTAATACAATTTGAGAGCAGTAGCATGTTTTTCAGTTAATGGCCTAGCAACATAAAGCATAAATTACACTGTAAAAGTTTATTTATCAATACTGTAACATGCTTTCACCTGAGGAAGTGTTACCTGGTGGCTAAAAATGGGGAGAGTAAGAAGGTGATGTCTCTCTCCCAGTCTTATACAAATGTTCTTTGTGATTTTGGAGGTGGTAGAACTTACAACATCTGAAGCATATCTATGCCCTATGAAATCAAAATATTAACACTCTTCTTGTTAGTTGGTGTGCACTGTGACTCACAGGCACCATGGGAACACACAGCATGGAAACGCTGCTTAGCATTGGGGAGCGATGGAGTGGGGCAGGGGGGAATGGCCCTGGCTGGGTTTTCCTTGCGTTTCCCACGTGCCGTCATTGTTGTGCAGAGCTTCCTCTCTCCACATAATACTCTGTTATTTCCTCCCTGGAACGGGCTTCTGCCACTGCTGCTAATTAGCCAACGATAAACTTGAGCATGGACAAAAGCAAGCAATTAAACGCCTGTTGCTCCAGCGTGAGCCCGGTCAGAGAAGCGATTTGTGGGTGGCAGAGGGCAGCAGCACCCCCTTGGAAGGAAAACAGTCCTCTTCGCCTGGCTGAGCCGTCGGTGCCGCGGAGTGGGGTGTCTGAGCTGCTCGTTGCAGGTGTGCAGGGATGGCTGTGGTACGGCAGATTTTCCTGAGTGTCTCCGAGATGCTGCTCAGTCTTGGGTCTTTGGTTCCGCATGGGACAGTGCTCTCGGTGGTCACTGCCTAAGCACGGCGGCTTCAGAAGCTAACGAATGATGACTTACATGTGTGCTGTTTTGGGTCTTTTTTGTGGGACACACACATAAACATTTTCACAATCGTTACATATAGAGAAATAAGGAAGAATTTTGGAAAGAGGAACCAGAAAGCAGTCTTTGGTAGTTTGAAATCTAGATGGGGTTTGAATGATGCTTGCTGGGACTCAAGATTCAGGTTTCAAGATCTTGCTGACTGCTTTTGTGTAGTATCAACCCTAACATGCAAAATTCCTCTAGGCTTTTCTCCCTTTGAGCAGAAAGCCCTATAGGAAGAATAATAGATATTTGCATGGGATTTTACTGATGTATGAATATGCTATGGGAAACTGGAGCCTTTTTGGGTTTGGGACTTATCTTCTTTTCAAAATTAGTGGGAAAGTTCAAGATAGAAAACTAAATATGAATTATTCCTGGGCAGAAAAAATGCAGAGGATCTTGGAAAATTCAGAATTAATGTACGTTCTCTTTTGAAGTGCCACCCAACTGCTTTGCCAACAGTTGTCTCTCTTGCTGTCGTAGCTCTCGAGCAGCTGCTCACAGAACTTGAAGATTTTCTGAGGATACTGGACAAGGAGAACTTGAGCAGCACTGCCGTGGTGAAGAAGAGTTTCCTCTCTGACCTTCTGCGGGTCTACACCAAGTCCAGCGGTACGGGCAAGGAAAACGAAGAATGGGGTGGTGGGCTCTCGTGGGAACTACCACTGGGCCTTGAAGCAACATTTTCTTGGAGGCTGATGGGAAGAGGAGACATGAAAATTAGAGGGAGAAAATGAAACGGAGATTATTTTTGCGATGACCTCTAATTGTTTATGTAAAATTACTCTAGTTATGTGTCCAGCTTTACAAGCAAAGGATTCCCAAGATTCCTGATACTTTGTTTTCTTTATTAAACCTTAAGTTTATTTAATCCACTTTGTAAGATACACAGGATGTACTGTTTGGCCAAGTTAATGTTTAAGTAGAAATTTTAACTTATGGAATTTCCTGGCTACAAAGCATTTAACTTTTCTGCTTTTTATTATTGCTTGGGTTTTTTTCTGCACGTTAATATGTTCTCCCCAAAACATACTCAGCAGAGACATTTTTTACATCTGTCTTTGTGGAAAAACTCGGCAACGGGAAATCGGCAGGTGGGTGAAGAGTTCACTTTTCCCTTTGGTTGCAGGTGGCGATGAGGAATATATTTATATGAACAAAGTGACCATCCATAAACAGCAGGGTGACCAGGACAAGCAAGACAAAGGTAGGGAGCTGAAGATTAATGGTTGCCCCATATCTAATGGGGCAATGACCAGACATGTGGTTAGAGCCTTGCTTTACTGGGACTGAGGGAGGCCCCTCTGGCAGCTCTGGGGGATGAGGTGGTTGATGGTGTGAAAGAACTGCCATTTTCATTACATTCCTTTGGAAATCATGGTCCTTGCCAACACTGTGAGGTTATTCCTGGAAGTAGCACTTTGGAGGGCGTTATTTTGGGATAAAAAATGTTGCCTTCTAAGGCTTTGCAGCTCCAGCGCCTGAAATATTTAAAGAAGCCCTCATGTTTCTTTTGGCCACGAAACATGCCACTTCACCTCTTTGGGACCTTGGAAGCATGTGTCATCTTCAGTGTGCTGCTCTGCACTAGCCCAGAGGGTTTGCGTTGTCACCACCTTGCGAGTCGCGTCGCCAGGCGCAGCCCACACGCTTGTCATCTGTGCAGGCAGAGCTCCTTCGTCTCCTGGGGGATGCAAGACTTCTGCTGTGGGCAAGCCAAGAAATTAAATCTAGATAAAATATTCATTTTGAATTTAAATTTCCCAGATTTTGAATTTGTAACATGGGAAAGCGTATAACTCTCTAGGCACGTCCTGAAGTTCTTCACAAAGACCGGTTTTGATAATTGTGCAGAGTGAGATTATCACTGACACACGTCTCCTTAATGCACCCTTAGTCGGAGGCTGACCCTGCCCCACAGGTTCTGATCCAGATCGATGAGATGAGAAGACGCATCGGTGCAGCCTGCTGTTGACATGCTGGTCCTGCAGTAGTTGGGATAGCTCCATTTCCAGGGCTGTTTGTTTGGGTTTTATTGGTTTGTGGTGGGTTTTTTTTGTTTGTTTTGGTTTGCTTTTTAAACTACCTGCAGCTGAATTTAGGTTAACTTGAAACACCCCTGAAGACAGGATGTCCTCCCAGATTACGTGTCCAGACGGGGCCCTCAGGGTGATGCTGTAATGCTCCATAGCAGGATTGCACAGCCTCCTGGTAGCTCCCGGCAGCTGCACAGCAAGAGGAGCATCTCTTTATAGAAGTTCTCATTTGGGTGGATAAAACAAGACTTGCACTGATCTACTGTGCTGAAACACGAGGGCAAATTTCAGACAACTTATTTTTAGAGTCGGTTCTTTTATTTCAGGCTTTTCCCTGTCAAGGCCATGAGCCTACCCCACTCTCCCTGTGGGACCTGGCGCTTCTCTCTCTCAGTTTTTAACAATCTCCCTATTCCAAGTAAAACTTCTGAGCTATTTGGAAATGCTGAAGTCAGTGAGACATGTGTCTGGGATCGTAGCCATAGCTGTAGCTGGGTGTACAGCCCTGACCCTGGCGCTGTAACTGCACGGAGAGGTCTGTGCCAGCCTGGCCAGAGGTGGGACCTTCAGGTTCGCATTTACCAGAGGGAGGGTGAGAGATGGATGCCCCGGTGGTTACGCAGCTCCCTTTACCCTTTTATCCACTTCGGTGTGCTTTGTCTCACCGAGATCCTTTGGTGGGATGTGGTGACCACGCTTTTGTGGCTGAGGTAAGTGGGACCTCTCAGGCTCTGGGGCATTTCTTCATCACCGTAGCTGTGCCCGTGTTTGCTCTAGCAGTGTAGGATGAAATGCTTTCTGAAGTGATAATACATCAGCTCCAAAAGTCCCCCTCAAAACCTTAAAACATTCTATTCTTGCCAAAAACACGTTGCGCTCACTACTTACAGTTCCATCAGTAAGGATTTAGCTGAACAGTGTGCTGTTTGAGGAACCTTTCTATGGCAATTGAATTCACCGCAGGGAGCGATGACGGCTCTGTCGTTTCCTTGATCTCATTTACTTGAGAAACACAGCAAGTCTCTACCCTGTAAATCCACGGGACTCTTCAGTGAGCCAAATGCCATCTCCTTCTGGAAGTCAGCACAGAGGGATAAAGGTAAAGGAGTCTGGGAGGTGGGACCAATGTGCAGTGTTGGGCTGCTGGTCATGTACGCTGTGGTCCTCTTAGCCCAAATACCAGGAGTGATTCACTTTTACAAAGAACACAGAGAAATAACAGTTAGTAGAGATGCAAATTTTACCAGACTTTTGGCTGGTTTTTTTCCTTCCTTCCCTCCTAAATTCTCTCCAAATTCTAGGTTTTAGAGAGACATCTTTGTCAGAAGACACCAGCAAAGTGTTAATGCTTGTCTAGGAAAAAATACTCCTTCCCCTCCCACCCCAGAAAGGAAATAGCCTGTGATTTGTGGTGCTGACGTGTTTAGTAGAAGGCAGGGGTACGTACAGCACATGCCGTGTGGACTCTCTGTACAGACAGCATGCGTTAGGTGCTTGTCCCCATGTGCTGGGCACAGCCATAGCTGCCCTCTGCAACTTCAGTACAGAAAACCCCGTAATGTCTCCCAGGAGTCTTGTCAGGATGAAGCTTAAAAGGGTGGTTCTTCCCGCACAGAGCCTGAAAAGCAAAGCTCCTTTGCATCCTGCTCTGCTCCTCAGCTGGAGTACACGGGCATGTGTCCATGGAAGTGGGCAGGTTTCCAGCAGGGTGAGGACTGAAGCTGTGGGCTCCGTCCCGTGCTCCGAGGTTGGTGGGAGGAGGAGGAACTGCTGGTGTGGAAACCAAACAGCATTTTCCTGGCGTGGTGAGGTTCAGTGGGATGATTGCTAGGTTTGCTGGACAGTCGAGAACAGATGGCCACCACTTGCCAAGGGTTTGGCAGCGATTTTTGCTGCTGCAATGATTTCTCTTCTGTGGAGCTGAGCATGGGAGGTTCTGCCTGGTGCAGGAGGATGTGTTGGCCTGTCCATTTCTCTCTGCTGAAGAGGCCTCTAAAAAGTTCCCTGTGTGGACAATTGTGAGCGTGGCATTTACCCCCTCTTGGGTAGTAGCCCACTGGGGCTTTAGGAAATGTCAGACTTATTTCTGGTGTTACCAGAAGCAGCAGTGGGGCTCAGCAGCTGCTGTTGGTGGAAGGTGTCCACCCTGCGAGCGCTACCCCCTTGGTCCTTTACAGAAAAGGCCAATCTCCAACGGCAGCCTCTGGATATGACTGGTAGTATGATCGTGGGGTATTTTGGTAGGTGGATCTCCCCGTGATCAGTCTGTGTCATAGGCTCACCTGCTTTACTCTGTTCAAACCTTACAAGACTTCCAGCAGACCTTGCAATCCGTGAGTGTCCATGTCCTCCTGGCTTCCTGAAGTTAGCCAGCGCTGACGACCAGGAGGCCTGTGTCACGGGCAGCAGTTTGTCACAAGAGATGTGTTTTGAGCTTTTCACCCTCATGCCAGGAGCTGGCTGCAGCCTGGCAGGGCAGAGCTGTCATCGTGGTTTCCCAGCCCCAGACGTGAACAAAGTATCGTGGTTTCCAGCTTTTATTTTTAAACCCCAGAATTATGCAGCAGCGTTCCTGGCCGCATCTTCTGGGTGCAGTGCTCGCCACTGCTGGGCACCGCGCGATGCGCGGCGGTTTCTGCGTGTGCCCGAGGAATGGGGCTGGAGCATCAGCAGGTGACAGAGGGAGTCGGAGCATCAGCTGGCTGCAGATTTTGGACCCGATTCCCTTTGAATGTACTGGACTTGCAATATCTGAATACCTTAGCTTCATTTCTCCCAAAGTATTTGCAAAGAGACAGTGTAAAAGGGGACATCCCTCTGCACAGTATAATGCCTTCAAAGTCCTTAATTTTTCAGCCATTTGGTGCCGTGCTCCCACTTGATCCTGAGCATTGCTGCACTGTGCTGTCTCGGAGGTCGTGGGATTTGAGCACTTGTTCGAGGCCACCCAGGAGTTCTGTGGTGGGGGAAGAGGGCCTGAACACAAGTTTTCTGAGCCTTTAACATACCCTCCAGCTACTGAATCACTTTGCTTTCAGCTGTTTGGAAAATCTGACTTTCCAGAGGCAGATGCAGAGTGCCTGGAGCAGTTCTGCTGGCCTGTGCTCCTTTAAGAGCAACTCTTCCGACAATAGCAAAGTAATTACTGTTCTTGGCTGGCTTTGATAAACGGTTGTGCAGCTCAGCGAGGCAGCAACCTTTGCAATTCACTCCAGGAGCAGGGTGGTATCAGCTCCGGTTTTCTGGACAGGCAGCAGAGGTGAGGGCAGCCACTGACCTGTCTGCTCGCAGCAGCAGGGATCAGAGCTAGCAAGGACTAAAGTGCTATGGATTTCCAGATACTGTAGAGTGTTTGCCCATCTGAGCTTCACAGTTTTCCCGCTAGAAGGAAAAACATACCCAAAAAACAGAGGCCAGTCCTTCTACTGGGTCTCCAAGTGCCGCATTCCTGGGTATGGCCTGAAATGACACGGTGGCCCTGCAGCGCTGCCTGTAATTGTCACTCTGCTTCCTACCAAAATAGCACCTCGCCGTTCTGCACAGCCCCGGGTAGCAAGTGCTCTGCTGGGAAATGCCACATCCCATCGACGTAATTGTGTTTCTGGCTTGCAGGGCTGGATCGGAGAAACTCCTTGACCAATGGAGACTCAGGACTGCATTCATCCCCTCCTCAGAAGAGCCTGCCAGACCTCCCCCCTCCAAAGGTATGTTTTGCAAATCCTTTGTTTTCCAGTGCCTAACCCTCAGCCTGGGGTTCTGAACGCTAGAGCCTTTGCTTTTGCTGTGTACTTTGCAGCGTGGCTAAACGGAGAGACCACTGCCCGTGTATGTTAGTGATGTAAACGGCCCTGGTGACCTTTATTTTTAAAAAAATTAATAATAAAATAAAGATTCAACTAGGGGCTCCCCAGTGTACGGGTTTCCAGCTGTGCAGTTGGTCTTTGTGAATGCCACAGGTGAGCGTGCGGCTGCTGCAACGGCCCAGGCGGGGCGGCTGTGCGCTGGGGCAGGTGGGCATCCCAAAACCCCTGTGGTTCCCAAGGTCATGCACAGAGGGAGCAGGCAGCTGTGGAAGCCTTGGACTTCCCATGCGTGTGCAGGGCTGTATTCCCTGCCAGGGAAACCCGTCACACGGCAGTCCAGGCTCAAAGAAGGAAGAGACTTGAGGTTTTCAAAGAAACAGAGGTGAGGCCAGCTCTTATCTCTTGCTTTGCAAATCTCCTCCGAGTTGTAAAGCAGCTGTGCCTGGGCAGCTGGCATGAACTTCCAAAACCCAGAAATCCTTCGGAGGTGGGGTAACGCCAAGGCAGTGCCGGGATCTCCCTCGCCGGCAGAGCCGTGCGTGGTTTGGCCATTAGCAGAGGTCGTGGCTTACAGCTGCAGCGCCCAGTGTTGTCTGTGTGTTGGGTGACCGTGCCGGCCGTCACGCTGGTTGTACAGCCCACGGGTCTGTGAGGAGGAGTCACCAGCACTGTGGATTTTTCTGTAGGGCAGCTACAGAAAATCTGTTAGGGTGCAGTTATGAATCTAGCCAGGGTCTGGTTCAGCTCCATCAGCTTTCAGTGGGATTTTGTCTCGGTGCCAGCAAGCCAGCCCGGCTGTCCTTGAGAGGTGCGGGTCATCCTCGAGGGCCCGGATGTTGCTGTTCAGTAGTTAATCTGACTTGGGAATTGCTGTAGCTGGGATTTCGGGATGTGAAAGGAAAGGGGGGCAGGGAGTGTGAGTGTGGAGGAGGGCAGAGTGGTGCATCCATCAACCACAGAGGAGGATCTGCTCCTTTCTCAGGAAGGAGGATGAGGGGTGAGGCCCTAGGACTTCTGCCCAGGGGGCTGCGTGGCTCAGCTGGAGGAGCTGGGAAAACAAGGGAGTAGGACAGGATGCAGCCAGCAGCTCCTCAGACGCAGTGGGAGCCTGGAGCTGTTCCAGCCCCAGGGGGTTCTGCCCACGCAGATGGACAGGGATATGGCATTGGAACTGAGTCGCCTGGGAGCAGTGACCAGAGCAAGAATCACTCTTTGGCTTTGGGTTTCTCAAAGCTGGACGGGGTGGTGGCTGTGGCGGGGAGATGGGCAGGAGGATGGTGGTGCCATGGATGACCCCTGGGTGACCAGGGAAGCAGCAGCCATGTGTCCCCAAGGCATCTCTGCTTATGCTTGCTGCAGCCCAACTTTCCCATAGGGCAATCAGAAAGTTTAATGAGGAAGAAAACAGTTTTGAATGTTAGGTGAGCAGGGTTCTTCAGCCATCCATCTTCCCCCAGACCTATGCTGGGAATTACCTTCTCCCACCTGCTTACCAGCAGAGCTAACCTCCCTGGATAAAGCAATCAAGTACCTCCTCACTGTGAGCGTCTGGGTCTCAGGGAGCTGTTGGCAGTGAAGATTCCTGATCATACTTCAAGGAGTGGGGCTGGGGAGAGCTTTAACGTGGTCCACGTTGGTGTGGGGAAATGAATCTTCCCCGTCTGTGTTTGCTGCTCCTGGGGCAGGCAGGAAACGGAGATCAGGAGAGCACCTCAGTATATCTGTGTTAGCTCCTTGGAGCTCTCTGTAGTTTGGTGATGTTAAGGCACCCTGTGGTGTTTCTCTACACTTGCCTTTGAGGCAGAGGAGAAGTTCGGTGATAAAGCCCTGCCGAGCAGATTATCCCTGATACTCGCTGACAGTCAGTGGGCAACCCAACAGGGATGGCCCAGCTGGATCCCACTCATTTCTTTGGATTTGTCCCAAAGCAACCTTTAAACAATGAGTCCTGCGGGCTGTGGCTCAGACATTGGTGACCTTTCATCTGCTGTAGCCCTGGCAGCTCTGCTGCTTTCCGCAGCCATCCGTGGAGAAAGTCACACGGTGCGGATGCCCAAGATGGTTTTATTTGCATGCTCCATTGTGCTGTAATGCAACAGGCAAATGTTCTGCGAGGACCAGCCTGGGTTAGATAATGCAGTGTGTACTCTTTGACTTCAGCTCGAGACAAAACAACTCCAAGCCTTTAAAAAATAGCTTCTGGGGCAGCTGAGGTGCAGTCCCACCTAGTCCCTGTTGGCTTCCATTGTCCGTAAGAAACAAAACAGAGCAGCCTCTACCCCCCAGCTCCTCCCTCCCTGACATTTGTGGGACGGTGTCAAACCCACAGCGTCTCTTTGTATAGGCAATTTGGTTATGGTCGTGGCACGGCGTGAGCTGGCTACACGCAGGAGGCCACCATGGATGGCAACTGCAAACACATTCCCTGGGAACGTGGGATTAAGTGAAGCTTTGGGTGGATGGGTTTGGTTTTGTTTTTTTAAATTAACACAGCAGGACAAGTTCCTAAACCTTAAAGTGTTTGGAGGCACTTGTTTTCCAGCAGTGTCCGATGCGGCGCTGGAAGGCCAGCTCAGAGTCTGCTCGGCGCATCTGGCAAACCCGCATAGGAAGTTTTCATCCCAGACGCTTAGAAGTTCGTGACGCTGGCAGAGCCATGGGCAGCTTGCCCACGTGGGAGCAGAGACCGAGTGATTTTGGCCATTGTGGTCAGGGTACCTAGTTCTCACAAGCTCAGCCACATCCCCCTTTGTGGGCAGTTACCGGTCAGAACATCTTTTCCTTCAAAGCTTCCTTTCTTCTGCTGGGCAGCAGAACTTGTTGGTGGAAATATCCAGGGCGGGATGGACAGCTTTGAACCCGCATATGATGATGCTGGCATGATGTACAGGGGGACTGGTCCTGCCTTAGATTGCGCTGCAGTGCTGATGCCCAGCTGGGCTCCTCTTCTCCAGGCCACCACCGGGCTATGAAGGACCGTGCGTGATCCATGACTTTCCACACTGCTGTCTCTGGAGAGGGTCCTGCTCTTCTGCCTGCCCCTCGGGACAGGTTGAGGCTCGCGCTGAACGTCCTGCCCGGGATTTGCCGGGGGGTCGGTCAGAAGCCGGTGGAAGCAGTGTGACCCAGAGCACGCCGTTGTCAGATGAATGACCGGGGGTGGTTTGTCCTGGGCGAGGAGGGGGGACACCTCACTGGGGAATGGGGGGATGCTACTGTCAGATCATGGTGGGAGAGGTGGGCTGCCACGTATTTTGGGAAAAGCGTAAGCTGTGTGCTCATCCTCCTGTGCTCTCTGGCTCCGCTGTCTCACGTTCAACAGCCATGTGAATTACTTGAAAAAGTTTGTTTCTTAGCATCACTTTTTTTTTCCTTTCTCATGTGTTGGTATTTCTAAAGGATCAAGGCACTGTTCTTCCTGCCAGCCCTTGCTTGTGTTTAGGGAGGGGTTTGGCAGGCACCACAGGGATTTTCCAACACTTGGACTCTTCTCAAAGGCTTATTTTCCATCAGTGTTGTTTATCCATTTCCTCCTCCTTTTTTTTTTGCTCAGAGCACAATTAAAGATTCCTGATATAGTTCCTAAAGCAGACATTTTTAGCTGTTGGTTTGCTATCAGAGACTTGGAGACACGACCAGTGAGCACTCAGGCTACGCTTTTTGGCGTAAAGCTGGGATTGCACCAAATGCACGCCCTTCTGGTTCCCTGTTAAGGTGATGGATAGCACAGAGGTTCATCCCCAGTTACGATGAGCAGCTTGGGGTGCAGCAGGCAGAAGTCCCAGTTCACAATAAAGCAAATGGGTTGGAATTGCTGCTTTTGAGGAAATGCATGAGTTGATCTTCCCACGGATTTCAGCAGAAATAAAGAAAATAATACTTGTGACACAATTATACAGTAATTTCAAAGAACTCCTCTATGTTTAAGCTACCTATACACTGGAAAGCCTCAGGAGTCTCTTTCTTCCCTGTCATCTCAACCAGTTTGTGTGAAAACCCGGGTGTACACACCTAAAAGGTCTCATCCACTTGGACGCACTTTAGTGGTAAAAAAATGGTTTCCCCATTGTTTTCAAGCATCTGTTTTTACCTTAAATCATGTTTTTATTTACTCTGCAGATTCCTGAAACAAAACAACCTCCGGTCCCCAAGATTGAATCCCCAGAGGGCTATTATGAAGAGGCTGAGCCATATGATGTCTCTGTAAATGGTATATCACTGCTAACTCTCTGGGGAGCTTCATGTGGGGGGTGGAGTTGAAGTTTACGAGAATGAGTGAATCAATGCACAGGTATTTCTTACAGCTTGTGTGATAAATTTGTTTTCTGGTGCTGGTCACATTTAATATTACAGATCTAATGCTAGTTGGGAAGAAAAGGCTAATGAATTACTCAAATTTTTAAGTTTCCTGTACAAATAAGTAGTGTGCCTGGGTTAATAGAACATCAGTGTAAAATATTATAAAACACTGTGGGTTCTCTCTGTCTGGATGGTTTTCTGGAAGATACGCTGTAGCCAAATGCAGGATTCCCAGGTGAAGCCGTGGTGGCTTGCATTCACGTCCTAGAGCTGTAATTGCCCCTTTGGGGCTCAAAACCCATGGCTGTTGGTCTGTTAGATGTGGTAACTGTTTTTGTCATTGGGCATTTATTCAGCTCTGTCTCTTGTGGCAGTTTAACCATCTGTAAAATTGATTAAAAAGCTACGCTTCATGCGAGGGGAGAGGGTGTGAGTTCCCTCTGCGCACACTCGCTCGCTGCCTGGTCGGCACCTCCCAGCAGTGTCCTCAGCCTTGCCACCCATACCCGTCACCTGTGGGCTCCCCACCCCTCAGGGAGGAGGCTGCTGCACGCAGGCTGAGCTCCCAGATGCTCACTAAGATGTATTCCTGCATCCTTCTTTCGGCGAACACCCTTCACAAGAGGTTGCCTCCCTCTGATCTGATAGCAGAGCTGATCTTGTCATCACCTGATCTGTTTAAGCCCAAATGAGACCCATTATATTGCTGTGCTGCAGAAGCAGATCTCAGCTCATCAGCTTCGACTGCAGCAGAGTGGGGTGCAGTGATGCACACGGTGCGGGGAGAGCTCAGCGGGGAGAGTCGTGGCAAGCAGAGAGGTGGGAGTTAAGGGTAAAAGATTTGGATCTAAACCCTTGGCCGTTGAATCTGAGGTGTTTGTAATAGCTGAGTCCTCTCCAGCCCCAGCGTGCACCACTGGGCTTTGAAGGTCCTTGGCAGGGAAGCGCCGGTGGTGCCACTGCTTGAAGTGGGCAGGGACTGGTTCATCAGAACAGCCCTCGCTGTGTGCGTGCACCGTGGGCACCTGGGCGGCTCGTAGCTGGGTCTGGGTCACTGTTCTCACAAAGGCTTCGGGGTTACAGTGCTAAATTAAAAAGGAGATGTAGAAACACCTTTGTCTCTCTGATCCATCCTCTTTTGACTGCAGCTCCATTGCAGCGGCGAACGGGAAGGTCGTGCCCAGCTCGGGTGCAGGCTCATTGTGGCCAGGGCAAAAGGTGCTGTTTGTTGTGGAGGAGAGGTCTCCCCAGCTCCGCCACATGCAGTTAGGTGCCGGCTCAATTTTGGTGAAGCACTCTGGGTTGTTTGCTGAGGGCAGGTCTGTGACAAGTGGGGTGCAGGGGAGTGAACCCCTCCTGCTGCCGCCACAGCCTTTCCCCACTGGGGGTTCCCAGTTGCCTGCACTGTGAGTACTAAATGTACTTTCCCCCCCCACACATTGGGAAAGAGGACGATGCACTAAGAGCTATGGCATGTAAACACATACACCGGATTAGCTGGAGCTCGTTCATTGATCTGTGTGCTGGGAAACCCGGGTTGTGTTATCCAGGCGGCTCCATAAACTCGTGTTGCGTTCCGAGCCTTGGCTGGCAGGAGTGATAAGCACACACTCAGCTTAAACCTCTACTTTTCCTTGGTAACTGCTGCTCAAAGATGCAAATACACCCACCATCTGCTGAAATCCAGGCCGATCAGATTCCTAAGAGAGAGATCAGAGTCCTGCATGCATGGAGAGAAGCCCCCTGTGTGATGGGAGCACGGTCAGAATGGGGCAGTCTGCGGGTGCTGTAGCTGTTTGATGGGGTGTCTTGCCCAGCAGTGGCGCAGCCGTAAGCAGAGGTAGGAGCCCATGAAGCGAGCAGAGATGGGACATGCAAGTCCAGGTACTGCCCCGCGGCCAGGTGTGCGGTGCCTTTGCCGCCTGTGACTGCTCAACCCCCAGTTCCCTCTGCGGGCTCCAGCAGCTCCCTCCTGCACAAACCCGTTTGCTATAATGCCAATGACTTTTGAGGTGGCTCGCATGAGAAGGAAGGTGGCATCGTGTCACCAGGAATCTCTGCTTTTTGGGAACCTTGTGTTTGAGGTGGTGCGCTGGGGTGAGCGACGAGAGGTGTGGAGCAGCAGGTGTATGGCACGAGGAGGCCGGGGGACCTCGGGAGAGCGTGAAGCGTGGCATGCCACGCAGAGGGTAGGTCAGGCAGCGATGCTGGGAAGCTGCTGGTGTCCTGGTTTGCATCAAGAGATCAGGCCTCAAATCCCGTGGCTCATGGGCAAACCTGTAAGTCTTGGTCCTGCCTATTGGTTCAACAAGTACAAAGCTGGGTTCCCCATCCCTTTTTCCTCCTGTCACCTTATCAGATGGCAACAGTACTCTGTACTTGTCCTACGTGGAGTGATGCTCGTTGTCACCAACTGCCTTGAGACCTCGGTGTGACTGCTGTTGCTAAAGGGCAGTCTGGACATGCATGGTTTTGCCCTGATCAAGATGCTAAAGCCTGACCCAGTAACCCCCCAAGTCGGCTGTGCTCACCCCCCTCTCCCCCCAAGCTGGTTAGGGAGGGGGCCAGTGGTCCAGGGAGCTGCTGGTGCTGTTTCTGACAGAATTACAGCGTGAGCCTTGGAAGACACCCATGCATCTCCAAACAAATGGGCATAGTGAAATCGAATAAATAGGAACATCACTTAAAATTAGTGGGTGGGCTGCCAGGACAGGTTGTCAAAGCAAGCCTCCAGATGGGCTGAGGAGATAGAGGATTCGTGCAGTGGCAGAGGTGGGGCTGCAAAGCTCTCTAACTAACCATGGGTGATTTACTTGCGATGAAGCAAGCAGGCGAGACCGCTGGGTCTGGGGGTCCCTCTTCCATCAGCAGGATGCCTGCCTCTTCTCTGGGGATGCCTCTGCCTTTCGTTTTTACAGCTCTGCTTCCCTTTCCTCCTGGGCTGAAACATGTTAAGCCATTATCATCCTCGTCTGCATTTGCATAATTGAAGGGTATGATAAGAAACGAGTGAAAATGAAAAGGGCAACGTGACTGCCAACCCAGCAGTAATTATTCTGGCTGAAACAGCTCATCTGCCCTGGCTGATTTTAATTATGATGACAATGATTCTGTTTTAAAGGGAATTGTCTTGCTCGAGGGGGCAGGTTGAAAAATGTTGTCCCTATTTTGAGGCGTCAACTGTTTGAGGAGCATAGGGTGTGCTCCTCGGCAGCGCTGGGGATGGGGCAGCCTTGCCAGCCGAGGGCTGGGCCGGACTGAGGCCCTCATGCTCTGCATTTGCTTACCTGTGCTTTTCTGTCTTCCTTTCTCTTTGCTTTTGACTGTGCAGGTCTTTTTGGTAGGCTTGCTGCGGCTGGACCCAGGCCAGGGCTGCAGGTTACTGAGGGCGTTATTTATGCCACAATAACGATGGGTATGGCATGCTTTCCAAACCTGAAGTGCCTTTTCTTTTTTTTTTTTTTTTTATTCCCAAAAACATCCTCAGTTTTAGCCAAGATGGTCATGTGCTTCCTCCAGCATTGCCCGTTACATGCATGGTGGGTAATCACCTCTCCCCTCTCTCTGCCCTTGCTGGATATACACAAGGCAGCATTTTTTGGGCCTTTCCCCATGCTCAAGGCAACAGTGAAGAGAACTTCCCTAGCCTTCCTTCTGCTGGTTCTGGGCTCTGATGTGGAGCTGATGTGTGGTGACGCCAGCTGTACTGATAGGTCACCGTGCAGCAGGTGTTGAAGGTGCTCTGCTCGGGCAGAGGAAGGTTGGAGTTTCCTGTGTCACGGTATGGATTTAGCTTCCTGGGAGGTCGTGGGAAGACAAACAAGAAAGTAGAGGTGGATCTAGATAAGGACATCCCAGAACATGGCTGCTGCTGATGTCACCTCAGTGAGAGGCTAAAACTGTGCCCTCAGCTGAAACTGTGGAAGGTGGAAGTGGGGACCTTGTACTGAAGTGCCTAAGCTGTACGACTTGGGGTCAAGTGAGCCCTAGTAGTGACGACAGTGTTGTCTCAAGTCACCCAAGCAAGGTTTGTCCCAGTTTGCCAACTACACAGCCCACAAAATATCTTTGCATCATGAGACTGTATCAGTCTCCCTGGGCTGCAGCTCCTCAAGTACAAAAGACCTCATCTCGTGAGGCGGTTGTGGTTCACGCACAAAACAGCAGCCAGGGCTCCCGCTGAGAGCGTGGAAGAAATGTGTTATTGCCCAGGAGAAAGGTGACAGCCTGAGGGCTAATGCTTCAGTGAGGGGCACCAGAGACACCCCAAAAGGGTTAAGAGGGGCAGTCAGCGATAGCCCTGTGTTGGTAGAGAGATTTAGAAGATGAGGTTCCCTTAGGCATCCTTGCTGCTGGGTAAGGGAGGGTCCCTAGCAGTGCAGAGGTTCCATTTCTTGGTATTTCTAGGGACAAGGAACCTCGTCACTTCAGCTCCATCTGAATTTCTGCCCAGGCGCCTGTGGGCACGGTCTGTGTGTTGACAACGCATTGCGGGGTGGTGTTTTCCCACAAAAGGCGGACTGCCCAATATACTGAGGGTGTGGAGGTGGTGAGCCAGTAGTGTGCTGTCAGCACCATTCACAGACTTTGAAAGGGCATATTTAGTTTTTAATAAGTTTGTCTAATTGGTGCAGTGTTGATCACTTGAGGTATGTTACAGAGTGAGATTTCACCAGAGGAGGCTGGGGCTAAGGCTGTAGCTTTGTTACTGCATTTCAGTTCCTTTTATTTTAAGAACAAATAAACCCAACTTAAGAAGTGTTTTTCAGCAAAGCTCCTAATGCTTTTTGGTTTTCCTCCTCTCTTCTGGCTGCTTTTCCTCTCTTTATTTTACACCAATCTGATAATGTTACTTATATGTGGATATTAAGATTTGATGAGAATCAAAATTAGATTAAGTTCTGGTGAGAGAAACTAAATGATATTCCTCCATGCAGTTTGGTAGGGCAAGAATGCAAAACGCTACACAAATGCTGCCCAAATCTTACCATCTTGCTACGCAAGCTTACCTTGTGAACAGGAGCCATACTGTAAATGCCAGCAGAGCATCGCAAATTCACCTGCAGGCAGTGGGAACGTTTCCATCATTCTGATGAATCTGTTGCCAGTTACCAGCTGTTCCTATTTGCTGTGAAATCTAGTAACCTACGTTACGTTAGAGCAGCCCGTTGAAAATCCCAGCTCATCCTAATAAAGTAGCAATCTGTTTAAGAATGAACGTGAAAAATGTGTTTACTGTTACAGCTGTCGCTTACAACTAGTATTTCCTGCTGCAACCGTGTATTATTTCAAAGCCCCTTGCTATCCTTAAATGCTGAGGAGAGACCTATTAGCCCTGAGAGGGAAAGTGGAGTGACATCTCAAATACAGTAGATCATTGCTTGTTGCATGGCCTTGCAAGTACCATTTTTACTTCTGACAATCAGAGGGCAAGGACTGATTGTTGCTTGCTCTTGCCTTAAGAACTGTGAGTGTTTGGCTTGAAGTGGCAAGTAAAAAAAGCATCTCTGGGGGGAAGAAAAGCAGCAAATATCGAAAAAAGTCTAAGGGAATGTTCTCAAATCTGTGGTCACCTGAGAAGTGTCTTTTGAGTGTTTGCTGAGACTATCAGGCACAAACATTGTGATGAGATTAATATTGGGCTACGAAGGAAAAAAGGACCTATGAGGGTTATTTTCCTATTGACTACCCTGTAGGAGAGCCTCAAAAGACACGTCCCCATGCTGGAAGCTTTTGCATGTGTGAGCATGGCTGAGGCAAGCAATAGGCTCAAAGTTGTCCTAGAAATGTATTTAGTGATGGAGTTTTGCTTTTGTTACAGAAGATGGTGAAGCCGTTAGTAGCTCCTATGAATCTTACGACGAAGAAGAGAGCAGCAAAGGCAAGTCAGCAACCCATCAGTGGCCATCCACAGAGGCCACCATTGAGCTGATGAAGGATGCCCGCATCTGTGCGTTCCTGTGGAGAAAGAAGTGGCTGGGACAGTGGGCAAAGCAGCTGTGTGTTATCAAGGACACCAGGTTGCTGGTGGGTAGATCCTCCACTCTGCCTAAAACAACCTAGTTTTATGAGCTGGGGAGGGAAGTGGCACCTCAGGCCATGGTAACTAGCTGGTGAAAGTACCTCTAGAAGCAGTGTTTCAAAAACCGTTCCCAGAGATTTGGGGATTTTGTTCCATTTTCAAAAGGGATGTGAGCATGGGGCTGCTGCAGGGGGCACAAGGGCACATTTGTGGCCAAAATCCCAAACTCCCAAAATGCCAAGAGATGCTTTTGGGGAAACTTTTTGAGGTGGTTAAGCAGAAGGGCTGTTTATCCCATTGACTAACCACATACCTGACCCTCTAGCAGTATCCGTGAGAGGCACTTCAGGCTGTATACATACGTACACAGACGTCTGTGTACCTGTGTGCGTACAGAGATGTTCTGTGTGTATTCTGTGCAGACCTCGCAGCCTGTAGGACCTTGTGTTCAACACACTTAATGTGGGTGGTTGCACTGAGCCACTTCTGGGGTTGAGTTCATGGCAGCGAGCGAGAGGGAAGGCTCCTCAGCCTCTTACCTGCCCTCCCTTCTTTCTTCCCCAGTGCTACAAGAGCTCCAAAGACCACAGCCCTCAGCTCGACGTGAATTTGCTGGGCTGCACTGTCATTCACAAGGAAAAGCAAGTGAGGAAGAAAGAGCACAAGCTGAAGATCATCCCCATGAATGCTGACGTCATCGTGCTGGGGCTGCAGAGTAAAGACCAGGCAGAGCAGTGGCTCAGGGTCAGTGGTGCCTTCGGGGCTTGCCAGGCTGGAGCTCCCGTGCTTCTACCCTGGTTTGCTGGGAGACCGTATCTTATCCCAGTCCTGTCCTCATGTGCTCTGGCTCCCTTCCTCACTGCAAGCCCGTATACAAATACACTGCTTCATTTTCATGTCCCAGAATGATAGCTGCTGGCTGCCTGCTGCAACACCAGGAACATTCCCAGGGTCGTAGGGAGCGTAAATCGTGGGTCTCCCGGGCTGCTGTGGTTTTGCCCGTCTGGAGTCGGGGGGAAGTATTGATCCTGTCAGTGCAGCTCTCACAGCCTATGGCTTCCCCTCTGCACAGGTAATCCAGGAGACCAGTGGGCTGCTGTGTGAAGGAGGCAGCGAAGGCAACCAGTACATCCCAGATTTGCAGCGCCTCAGTTACCCAAAGGTACGCCTCGTCCCTACAGAGAGAACTACGACTTAGGCCTTTCCACCTTATTCCTTCGATAAGTGATAGTTGTAGGTGCAGTACTTTCATCTGAGCAAAGACCGATGTGAATGTAACCAGACCCCGCTTCTGCTGGAAAGGAGTGTTATTAGAACAATCCTAATGGTCCTTTGCAATCTTAATTTTGTTGCTACATTTTTCCCCCAAAACTGACTGAGCACTTGGCTCTCCCGCATACAGAGCAGCAGCATGATCTTATCCAACAGGCAGTTGTGCTCACCCAGAGCTTTGGAAGGGGCACAGACCCTTGATTGCCATGGGCCAGTCCAAGGGCTTGGGCCAGTCTCTAGGCTAGGTTGATGTGACAGTCCCCTGGGGCCAGCTTGTTCCAAAACAGTGGGAGGAGAAACCTTCATAAGTCTCGGGTGGACCCCCAAAGGGAACCCGTTTGGGCACCTGGTCAGCTCCTCTGCCCATGCCCTTCTGTGGGGACTGGCAGTCAGGCTGTGGGGCAGGAGGCCATGGGTGTCACCCACCGGTGATGCCACCACATCACCTCAGCGTTGAGCCCAGCCAGGGTGGTTCGTGTGTCCGATCTGCCCATGCCGGGCTCAGGAGAAATGGGGTGTGGGGGGGCGCAGCGTCAGTGAGCAAGCGGGGGGGTGTCTTTGTGAACGCATCTGCTAGGATGCTTGTAATTTAGAGGGGGTGGGAGGCTCTTGTGGCAGGTGGTGGCTGGAGGAGCAGGTCCCATGCATCTGCGGAGCTTGTGTCTGGTGCTTGTTGACAGGTGGAGGTGTCCGAGAGGTACTCTGCAGCCTCCGAGAGCGGGAGCAGCACGGATGGTCCCCCAGAGACGGCTGAGATAAAAGATGGTAAAACTTCACCCTGGGAATGAGGGGGAAACCAGGCCATTGACCCTGCCTGTGCACCAAGGGGTTCTGTAGCGTCTCCTGCCGCTGCCACCCCAAACTGATGCAGTGGGGAAGTTGCTGTGTGTGAATCTGCTGCTGTGAACTTTATTTTATTGCTTCTTTTTTTTCCATAATGAAGTGACAGGTGGATGTTGGGATTTCTCAGCAGTTACAGAGTTAGGATAGGGCTTGAGAAACCTGGGTGTGGTACCTGCCAAACCACACAGATTCTGACTTGCCCAGGGTCGTGCACTTTGGGATGGTGTGAGATGGCATAAATCCAACCTAAGTGACTTTCCTTGGAGTTCTGTGCAGAGAAGTTGGAGTGCCTGTGGGAAATGCTGAGCTGTCTCCAATGGGAGAGTCACACCTTTACACCAGGGCATCCAGCTCTGGGTTTTAAGCTCCATTCTCCATCTATACGATGGGTCACATAAGTACATTATAAGAGGAGATGCTCTGTTAGAAGAGTGGTGGGACCCATCCACATATTGGAGAGAACAAAAGAGAAATCCATGCTGAGGACTCACTGGAGTCACCCAGTGGATCTCTGCTGCTCAGTCCCTTTACATTAGGACTTCAGTATTTTGTTAAGCTAGAGAGAAAGAAAATCTAGACTAAAAACATCCAGCTTGATTTCTTATCAGGACTGCCTGGTGATTACACAGCCACATTCGTGCACTGACTGATGTGCTCGGTGGGAAAATGCTGAAGAGCTTTTTTGGTCATAAGCTTTCCCCCTCCCCACCCTAGGTCCCTCTTCTAGAATGGAAAAGACTTGGAGGCTGTAAATATTTATGGGTAATGATTTTTAATCATTAAGAAAGATTGGTGTAAGAAAGTGAAGGGATGTTGGCAACTGAGCAGCAAGGTGTGTTCAAGCAGCCTTCCCACAGCTCCATCAGTGATTGGATTTGGTCAGCGCTAACCCAGGTTTCAAGCAATACAGGTTAAGTGTTTTGGGCCTGTCACTTCACTGAGATTTCCTGTGCTGCTTGCTCATCATCTCCCTGGGCTTTGGACTACTGCAGCCTGTCCCTGAGTTGCAGGTTTTCCCTCTGCAAGGGCTGTGTGCGCCACGGCACTGCTGGGTGCAGGATGGCAGCGCAGGCAGCTTTGGGGCAGGACACCCAGCTGGGACAGCGGGCTGTGTGTCTGGCTGTGCGCTGGGAAAGCTCCACGTGTGTCTTTTTGTTTTCTGTTAGTTAAGAAGAAGGGTACAACTGGCCTGAAACTGAGCAACCTGATGAACCTCGGGAGGAAAAAATCCAGCTCCCTGGATAGCCCAGAGAGATCCCTGGAGACTTCCAGTAAGTGGCAGCATGAGCCCCACTGCAGGAACCCGTTTTAGGGCTGTATCTCTGTGTGCAGGGCAGGATGAGCACCAGGTATTCTCCTCCTCAAACACCCATATGCCAGGCTGCCCTGCAAGGGGAGGGAAGAGGTCACACTGCTTGGTCCGTGCCAGTAAATCCATGCAGACTGGGGTGCCTCTTGCATGTTAAGGTGACTCTGCGGCTTAGGAGGCCAGGCAATAGCTCCCAGGGTGACCCAAGAGGAAGGGCAGGTAATACCAGATGTGCTTGTAGGGTGTGGGAGTCAGCAGGTGGAGGGTTGTGAGGGTCAGCTGTTACTCACCATCTGGAGTCAGCTTTGTCCAACCATCTGCAGCCACCTTGCTGCTCCAAACCTACCCTGAATCTCAGGGGGCTCATTTTGAGCAGATTTTTAGCCTTTTCACCATTTTGTATGCACAGGACAGCTTGTCTTTGTGCTTTAGCTCTTTGTGGTTGCCCGTGACTTTGCATTGTTCTCACAAATTACTCATCAGACATCCCCATGCACACAAGTGAGATTGGATTCCCTCTCCCTGTAGTATGGAAAAATATGCCTGAGTACCTGTGCTTGCTTGCAGGTTACCTGAACGTGCTGGTGAACAGCCAGTGGAAGTCCCGCTGGTGTCAGGTAAAAGACGGTCACCTCCATTTCTACCAGGACAAGAACCGCAGCAAACTGGCTCAGCAACCCCTGAGTTTGGCAGGTTGTGAAGTTATCCCAGAGCCAAGCCCTGACCATCTCTACTCCTTCCGCATCCTGCACAACGGGGAAGAACGGGTCATTCTGGAGGTAGGGTCTGTGTCTCAAAGCAAACTCTGCTTTAAGTCATCAGATTCGGGTGTCTTAGTAGGCCTAAATGTCGGTGAGGTCTTCCAGAGCAAAACAGAACCTAAGTGTGGGACCTTGGTTCATCTGCCTGTCGTCACCTAGAAGGTGTCCCACCTAGCTGGTAATCCAGGCTCTGTCTGATGCTGGTGCCTCCAGAGGACCATTCAGCCTTCATCTTAGGCACTCGTCTTAGGATGGGATGAAGGGTCCTCTGGAGGTGCCCATCTCTCTCTCCACTGGCTATAGGATAAGCTTGGATGATTAAGTTATATGGGATGGTTAGAGGAGAGGTATGCTGCGTCAGAGATTTAAGTCTGTGGTTAGGAGGAACAGAAAACATCTTCTGAAAAAAAAGGAATCCCAAAGCCATGGGTCATGCATCCCAAGTAAACCAATCGCACTCTGCCCCTCAAAGTGCAAGTGAATTCATCTCCATGTTACTTTCCTTTGCCTGCGTCCAGGACTGTTTATCTCTAATCTTAGTTCTCTCTGACGACAGCGTGATTATAGCAGGAGGTGGACCATGTGAGCAATTTCCTGTATTTTTCCAGTGGGTGGAATATTTATAGCTAAACAACTGACTTAGAGTGCCTTGCCATGAAGTTTGAAGGGGTTTTCATTTAGCTTCTGATTCAGGGTATGTCTGTGTCTAAGAAATTTTACCTAATTACAGACGTGAAGAAGAGGTGCTGAGAAAATTTACATTTTTTGAATAATCTGTATTTTGTTGGGATGTCAGAGTCAACACACAGGCTGGCTGGCTTCCCAGGGACTGAAGTCTCCGCTAAATAAAACAGATTGGAAGCTTAAAATATACCTTCCAGTTTGGGATTCACTTGCCCTGAATTTTACTTTATGCTTACAGCTCTAACTCCTCAAATCAAAGCAAAAGATGTAAATAAAGGTGGCTGCATCAACCCACTTCTTGCTTCAGCCAGAAGTTCCCCACTACTGGGAAGTACGTGTGGCTGCTAGAGCTGACTTTGAGGCACTGTATTTAACTCTTAATTTTGCAAAACTTCAGACTGCTGCAGCTGGGCATTTGGTACTGACCTTTTAAAGCGAGGGGCTCTCTTGGAGGTGGTTCTCTGATCCCACTTAAACTCTCTCCTTCCCCTCTCCCCCTGTGCAGACCACCCTGGAAGGGGTTTGGGCTCTGGCGAGGACCCCGCAGGCTCCCTGGCGTGCTGGGACCTCCTTGCAGGTCGGTGTGCGGCAGCGCCGTCGCTGCGCTCCGCTGGCGCGCGATAAAACCCGCACGCTGCCCCTGCCCAAGCCAGCTCCCCGCCAGCGTGTCTCCGGCCGTGGGGACTTCTCTTTCTCCTGTAGGCAGCTGAGCTGGTCAGCGGTGAAAGGAAAATGCAGATTGGCTAGAAATTTTAGAAAGGAGTTAAGCAAAGAGCTGCATCTGTGTATCTTTCAAATTTGCAAATCAGTCCGTGCGCAGAGCGGTATTTCTTTTAACGTCGTCTCAGGTTTAATATAAATCCCTGGCTGTTCATCTTCCCCCTGGGAGCCCAGAGGACCGCCAGCATAGTTCCCTACCCAAGGCTAGGTCAGCCATAGCCTTGGGAGGGCAGAGACACTGCAACCTGTGCTGCCTGTCTGATCCCCTCGTAGGCAAAGTCCTCGGAGGAAATGGGCCACTGGCTGGGCCTCCTCTTGTCGGAGTCCGGCTCGAAAACAGACCCGGAGGAATTTACCTACGATT